CTCTCTTCTTCCTCTCCTTCATTCCTTTCTTTCTTTTCCTTCTCACTTCATTCCTCTCTCTCTCTCCTTCTCACTTCACTCTCTCTCTCTCTAACTCACACTTCACCCTTCTCTCTCTCTTCCTCTCACTTCATTCCTCTTCTCTCTATCCTCTCACTTCATTCCTCTCTCTCTCTTCCTCTCATCCACTCCTCTCTCTCTCTTCTTCCTCTCACTTCATTCCTCTCTCTCTCTTCCTCTCACTTCACTCCTCTCTCTCTCTTCCTCCCACTTCACTTCTCTCTCTTTCTTCCTCTCACTTCATTCCTCTCTCTCTCTTTTCCTCCCACTTCATTCCTCTCTCTCTCTTCCTCTCACTTCATTCCTCTCTCTCTCTCTTCCTCCACTTCATTCCTCTCTCTCTCTCTTCCTACCACTTCATCTCTCTCTCTTCCTCCCACTTCATTCCTCTCTCTCTCTTCCTCTCACTTCATTCCTCTCTCTCTCTCTTCCTCCCACTTCATTCCTCTCTCTCTCTTTCTCCCACTTCATTCCTCTCTCTCTCTCTTCCTCTCACTTCTTCATTTATCTCTTTCTCTTCCTCAATTGCAGCTTCACCCACCCGACGGAACCCTCCACCACCTGAGGTACACTGCCGGTGTCTTGGGGGTTTCCTTCCAGAGTCTGATATGCTGCCAACCCCTACCCCCTCGAGCCATGGCACCTCGAGCAGGTTAAGTGCGGGCTTGGGGAGAAAGAAGGCGGGGATTGAGGGAGGGTTGTGAGGGAGCAGGCAGGGAGGGAGGGAGGGAGGGATGGGTGGAAGGAAGGAAGAGGGTGGGAGGGAGGGAGGGAGGGAGGAGGGTTGTGAGGAGGAGGAGAGGGAGGGGGGAGGAGGGACGGAAGGAGAGAGGGATGGGTGGATGGTTGGATGGGTGAAGGGAGGGATGGGGAAGGGAGGGATAGAAGGATAGAGGAATGATACAGAGAGGGAGAGAGAGAGAGAGACAAAGAAAGCATACTGAATAGGAAAGTAAAGAGAATGGTGGAAGTACATACTGTATTAGGAAAAGTGCAAATCACGCCTTTAGTGTCCGAGATAACACAATTTTTTTTCCATTTTGTTGGCACGCATGGGCATTTTCTAAAAAAAAAAAAAAAAAAAAAAAAAAAAAAAAAAAAAAAAAAAAAAAAAAAAAAAAAAAAAAAAAAAAAAAAAAAAACCCGGCTAATAACACACGGCAGTAGGATTGAAAGTTTGAAGATTATATAACAGCAAGAATCACACGCTTCCAAAAGTGGTTTGCGAGTCATTTTTTCGAGCTGCAAGCCTTACCATCTGTTAATGCTAGATATATTGATAGGCAGTGATCAGGGGAAACGTATCTTTTTTTAGAGTGCAGCAAAAGGCATGATTTGCATATTGAGAAGGATCACCTCTAATCTTTACATTCTTTCATGTAGAACGTTCATATTCCAGACAGAAAGAAAACAAAATATTAACAACAACGGGAATAATAATTAAACAACAATAACAGCGGTAGCAACGTGCGTGCAGCTAATATACAAGAACAAAAAATAACAAACAACATAAAAACAAGAGCAATAATAACAATAATAGAAGTACAAATTTTCACTCCAAGCCTCCCTGCTTTCAGACTGCGTTCGGAATTATCAATGATAAAAACAACAACAATAATAATAACATGAAGAAAGCTGATATGTAGTAACAAAAAATAATAAATAACACCAGAAAACAACATTAACGATAACAGCAATAACAACAGCAATAAGATTATTTTTCCCTCCTTTCAGATTGCGTTCGCCGAAGAGCAGAAGCGACTGCAGGCGGAATCCGAATCCGCGAACGAAGAAGAAGAGAGCGGCGGCGAGGCGAACGAAGCTGAGGCGTGATGAGAGCGGTCACCTCGAAACGATTTAGTTTGTAGTTATTATTGTATTATTATTGTTCAGTATTTCCTTTTTTTGTTGAGAATGTTTAGTGTTAAGTGTAATAAAGTCGCGACTTGAAAAATAACGTATCTCGTTTTTCTTTGCTTTCCACGCATTCGGATGAGCGATTTTTTTGTTGGTGAAGATAACAATACTTACAAAAACAATAAAAAAAGAAAAGAGAAAATAGGAAAGAAAAACAACTGATAACAGAGAGAAAATATGCTAAAATCGACAAGAAAAGAAAAACAGACTTAAATTTCCATCAATCTAAGCATAATACGATACCAAAAGCTACCTCGGGACATGATTTGCCTGCACTCAATACCAGCCAAACCACTGGTATTAACCTCGCTATTTTCTCATCACAGATACCTCTCACTTTTTACCCAAAGGTCTCAATATAAAGTATATTTTCCTGATATACTTTGCATAATGATATACTTTTACAGGTGTTACTATAGGTGATTTTAGGAATTACTTTCAGTGCTATAATTGGCGTGAATGTCAAAATAGAGGATCTGCGTTATAAAACATGATACTTATGGGCATATTGCGTGGTATTGTAAACAGGATGCGCCTTATCTTGAAAACGGAATCAATTATAAATGAGGTAGTTATCAAATCACCGACTGTTACGGTGATTTGAGTCATGTTTGATGATAATGATGATGATAGTGATAATGACATTAATGGTGATTGAAAAATTATGATAATAATGATAACCATGGTGATGATGGTGAGGGGGATGGTATTGGAGATAATAATGGCAATGACAGTGGCGATAATGATGGTGATAATGGTGATAATGGTAATGATAAAAATAGTGAAGATGATATTCATTGCAATGATGAAGATAATGGTATTAATGATAATGATAATGATGGTGAAAAGTGAGGATGTGATAATGGAAATGTTATTTTGAAGATGATATGGCGCCATTAACAGTATGTAATGCTGCTGATGAAAATATAACCATGCAGTATTAATATCAATAGTATAAATACTAACGCACAATGATACTTTTGCGCCTACCACTACCAATATAT